AGTTTATTTAGACTTCACTAATAATTATTTCACAGGAGTTTTTTTAACCACTGTTCATTTGCATGTGTAGAACTCACTTGTTGAGAGTGAACTAAGAATGGATTTTTTTTTTTTTGAGTTAAAGTTGAACTGGAATGGCACTTTATTGTACCTTGCCAGATCGCTCCTTCTACGGTAAGCAACCCCATGCAAGAACTGAATGTTGTCCCTTTAAAAGCGTCTGGTGGCCTCCTGTGTTTATAATCCTCAAGTCCCATGATTCGGTCCCACCTCCCAGCCTTGCTCCACACACTCCTGCTCACATTTGGTTTAGATTTGACTTTTCTTTGCTTAAGAAGAACAAGATTTATTACTAGTCAGAAGCCAGCAGGCCCCCACATTTAGGAAAAATAAATAAATGAATCCTAGTCTGCCACAGTGAACCATGCTCAGGTTCCACTGGGTCTTCTGAAAATGGTCACACAGATCAGATCCTGCTGCTTGCATGTATCTAGAAAGTGTCAGCTTGTCCAAATGCTTCTATCCTTTGGCTCATGTGATCCCTGAAGTCACCTTCTGAAGTGTTTTGGGAGGAAAAGGAACAGGTCATTCATGCATTATTTAATGCTTTTTTATTGAGAAGGTGTATCTGCCAGAGACAGGGGATTGTCAGGAACTGAGAGCTGGTATTCACAGTGTCTAAGACAAACAAGTCCCTGTCCTCAGGTAGCTTAGAGATTGAGGGGTCATTGAGCTCTCCCATGATGAGGCCTTCTTTCACTTACTACTCACAGCAGACTGTGAGAGAGGTCTTATTAACCTCATTTTGTAGATGAGATAACCAAAACTCCCAGAAGGTCAAGTGACCTAAGTAAGGTCACCCAGCTGAACAGGGACTCAGCCATAGCTTAGCTCTGGGCTTCCTCAATCCACGGGCTGCCGATTGTGTCCTGGATTCTTATCCAATAGTGTGACCTCATGTCAACTCAGATCAATTCAAGGTCTCTTTTCCAGTTTCCCACATCCCTGGTTTGGGCTTAAAAAGGTAACTGGTGCAACACACAACAGATACTGAGCCTCTCAACTTGGTAACTTTAAGGACTTAAACTTTATAGAGGCTCTAAGAGGAGCAAGGAATGTCTTTGTGAGATGGGGGGGGTCTTGGCGGGGGGGTGGCGGTGGCATCTGGGGTGGGAAGAGGATGACATGGTTCTTTCAGAGAGGTGGTCCAGGAATTCCCAAAGGTTGGCCTTGACTCAGTCAATCGCTAGGTCAGTTTGAAATGAGTCACTTGTAGCGTGGGGGCAAACAACCTCAGTCCCTCACTAAACTATCGGGAAGCAGGCCCGCAAAGTATTTCCTCCTGGGAGAATAATCCTAATTTCAACCCCTCGAATTTGCATGGCTCTCTAGAGTTTGTAAAACATGTTCACACTTGTTACCTCATCTGCTGATTGTTAACTGCACAGAGGCCAAAGGGACCAGGGTTTGAGAAGACCCAGTCAAGTGGTCTTTATGTATCTTTTCCAAAGTCAACTCCTTTGTCAGAATGAAATCTCACCAATAGTCTAGTGTATAAAATTGATGAGATCGGAAGTCATCATTGGGATGGGGACGGGGTGGCGGGGAGGCACAGCCCACGCTGAAGCCTTTGCTTGGACCCCTGTGTCTATTCCTGAGGGATCTCCCGGGAACCTGCAACTGCCATGAAACCCAGCGAGAAACAGTGTTGCAGTGAACACCCATCCCATTTCACTCGCCTCCTCCGAAAAAAGAGAGCTGAAGGCCGGGGAGCTAACCAGACAAGTCCAACGTCCCTCCTGAGCCAGTGCCCTCTCCTTGCAACTCCCCAGGGCTGCTTTCTCAAGTGGGTAGAGTCTAAAGATCTTCCTGGGGGCCAGTGTGCACCCAGGTGTCTCAGGAAGGTGTCCTCTTGGTAACAGACATCTCTGCCACTACTTACCCTCTTTTCAGGTGGGGCTCGGGGTCACCCCGGGAATCATGGGGCTGGTGGCATGGTGGTTGGGGAGTAGGGCCAGTAATTTGTCAGCCCCAAACACTCTCCCTGGGAACGCAAGAAGAGCAGCCTGTAGTCAGGCAGGCTCTCCCCAACTCAAAACCTTACGCGGAACTGGACAGTGGTCATTATTGGCTGAACGTTTGTTTCCCCCAAATTTACATTTTGGATTCTTAACCCCCAGTGTGATGGTACTTGGGGGTAGGGACTTTGAGAGGTAGTTAGGTCCGGGGTATGGAGCCCTTATGAATGGGATTAGTGCCTTTATGAGAAGGACCCGGGATCAAGCTTGCTCCCTTCCCTGCCCGGGCTCAGTCTCTGTCTCTGTCTCCCCCTCCCTCTCTCCCTCTCCCTTCCTCTCTCACTGTCTCCACCCCCCTCTCTGTCTCCCTCCCTCTCAGTCTCTGTCTCTCCCCATCATGTGAGGATAGAAGACAGCCATCTGCAAACCAGGAAGAGTGTTGTCAGCAGAATCCAGCCTTGCTGGCCCCCTGATCTGGGACTTCCCAGCCTCCCGAACCGTGAGAAATAACTATGTGTTGTTTAAGCCCCCCATCTGTGGTAGTCAGCTATGGCAGCCAGAGCGGGCCAAGCCAGGGTGATGGCTGCGCAATTCTGTGAATGTCCTGAGAGCTACCAAATGGTTGAAAGGCTAACTCTTACTTTGGGTGTATCTTAGCACAATAATAAAAGTAGTAACAATAACAACAGCAGCAGCAACAACAACAACAATAATTAAACTTATATTGGCTCCCTATTTCCTAAGGGTCAAGTTCAAACTCCCCGGTACAGTCAATGACCTGAGCCGGGGCTACCTGCTTGCTGTCCCCCTCTCAACATCTTCATCTATTTGAATATTCAAGCCACTGTAAGCGGCTCTCCATTGCCTGGACAAGTCATATGCTTTTACTTTTCTGCGCTCACTCACAATTTTGCTTTTAGTCGTAATAACAAACACATCTATGGTGCTTACTATATGCATATGCATACATATATCTAGGGCTTAATAAGTGCAGGACGTTTGAGTCATTTAATCTTCCCAAAGTCTATGAAGTAGATACTGTTATTTAACCCCATGTTAGACATGAGAAAACTGAGGCACAGAGAGGCTAATTTACTTGTTGAAGGTCACCAAGGCAAGGTACGAAGCCAGGCATTCTGGCTCCTGAATCCTTGCTATTAGTCGCTGCAGAGTACTGCCGGTGGATGGTGGATGCCTTGTCCTTGCAGTTTTTCTGAAGAATTCCTCCTCCTCCTTTAAGACCTGGCTCAAATATCACCTCCACTGTGAAGCTCCCTGGTGTTCTCCCAGGAAAGGGTGGGACTCTCTTCTCTAGGATGGCTAGCACTCTGCTCATGGGTATTTTGCAGTGCATCTCCTATTGTGTGCTAACAGCCGGCTTGTGAGTCTGATTCTCTACCAAACTGTGGGGCCCCTGAAGATAGGGCAGATCTTACTTACCTTGATACCCCTGAGCACTCACTACATGTTTGATGAATAAGGGATGGCTACATGCACTTTCTCTCAATTTTTCAACTTTTTCCCATAAATAACAAAATCAAAAGGGAATTGCTCTGGCTCAGAAATTCTGTAATGGCTCCTTCAGGATCTTGCCACAGTCACTGACAACATTACCTTTTTCTGTGTACCCCTCCAGGCAAGAAGGCCATTCAGCTACACTTTCGGTGGTCCACATCAACAAGAAATACTGCTTTTTGATTTTCAAATATGAAATCACTGTATGTTATAGGTAGATATGAAATTATAATGCAAAGAATGATTTTTCTCACTCAAAATGCCTCTCCTGAAGAATAGGACAATCTTCCTTCCCTTTCTGAGATGTATTGGTTAGGACAGAGGAGGGAAAATGGATTAATGTTTGCATAGATAGGAGTCTAAACAGGAGCAAGAGAGGATGGGTGGATGTGTGGTGGATGTGAGGATGGGGAAAATGGTGAATGGATATGTGGATGATGGGTGCACAGACGATGGGTAGATCCGCGGATGAACCGATGTGGCTGGCTGGCTGGAGAAGAGGACAGTACATAGATGGCTGGATGTAGGTCTGTGAAGACACGTGGGAAAGGATGTATGGGAAGGTGGAGGAGCAGTCGTGTGGGAGGGTGATTGGATGGCTGGTTGGATGGATGGGTGGAAGGGAGGAAGAAAGGATGTGTGGTTGGATAAGTGGATGGAAGGGAGGATGGGGTAGATAGGTGAGCCCCGGAGGGGTGTGAGGAAAGATGGGTAGACAGGTGAACAGGCGGGTGGAAGGATGTTTAGGAAGATGAACGAGTATGGGTGACTGGATGAATGGGTGGATGGACCCACGTGCCAGCCTGGGACTGGAAGATGACACATGGGTTGGAGGAGGGAACTAGCAGCCCCAAGGCTGGTCATCCTTAGCTTTCTCTGAGCAGCCCTGATAAAAAGCAAAACTTCACCAGAGCCAGGAGAACTTCTCTTCTCTTTCAAGCGAAGAAGGAGCTCGTCCTCTCCCCCTGGGAGGAACCACGAACTCCTGACCCCTCCTGCCCACCGTGAGCACGGGAGCACCCCTATCCATGCAGGACCTCCTCGCCAGGAGGCCATCTCCTCTCCCAGAATATCCAACTGCCTCTGAAACCCAGAGACATCACTCCCCAGCCCGATTCACAGAGAAACTCAGCAGAGAGGAGGGGTCGGAGGCTGAACCTGAAGCGGCTAGGTTTCGGGACCCACTCATCCCCCTTGCGGGTCCTGAGGCCTCCCTCCCAGCCGGCCGGGAGCAGACACCGGTGCGTCCCGGGGCGCACGGGCACCCCGGCCCTCCCGGCGCCCGCCCAGGCCACCCGGATTTACGGTCTCGGCCGAGCTCGGGGCGGGGGCGGAAGGGCCAGCGCAGGGGAGGGCTGCTACGTCTTTAAACCTCTGCCGGCTGCTTAGTCACAGCCCCCTCGCTTGGGTGTGTCCTGCGCTCGCTCTCTCCTCCCTCTTAGGTCACTCTTTCAGCCCTTGAATAAAAACAGCACCCAACTTCCCAGGCGCCCTCATTGCCCAGCCGGACCCCAGTCCCTGATAGGTTCGGTCCGGCCCGCTCGCCCCGTGTTCCACCGGCCCCCGCCCAGCGCACCGGACCCTCCGGCGCCCCGCGCTCGCTCTCTCGGTTTGCTCGCACCATGGACAAGTTTTGGGGGCGCTTAGCCTGGGGACTGTGCCTCCTGCAGCTGAGCCTGGCGCAGATCGGTGAGTGCCGCGGGGGGCAGCGGGAGGGAGTGGCCGGGGCGCCCCGGAGGGACCCAGCAGCCACCTGGCTGAATTGGCCCCGGGGACCGGGGACCGGAGGCGAGCCGCGTGGATTTGGTTCAGGACAGCGGGGTTAGGTTTTGCGCTAAGCCCTTGGAGAGTGTGCTGGTGGGAAGCACGGTTTTGTTGAAAGGAAAAGAGAAAGAGCGAGGAAAAGTTGGTTGGGCAGGCTGCCGGCGCGCCGTTTTGGGTGAGGTCGCTGGGGCTGGAGCACAAGGCAGAAAGTAACTGTACTCCTGGGTGTGCGCAACCGGTGTCTGGACCAACAGGCTCGTGCGCCCAAGGGCGCTGGGAGCCTGGCTGGGCTGTGGCTGGGCAGGGCCGAGCTAGGCGGGGCAGGGGCCGCTCGCCAGGTGGCCGGAGAGATGGTGGTGGGACGGCTGGTGGCAATGAGCTTTCCAGAAAGGGGTGCGGGCGCCCTGCAGCTCCCCACTGCGCCTGGGTTCCAAAGCTCTTACGGTTGGCTCCAGTCACTGCTTGTGGGAACTTGAACCAGCTCTGTGAGGTTCTGGGTTTCCACGAGGTGCCAGCCTGGGGCAGGGAGTGTGAGGAGGAAAGGCAGTGACTGAGCCAGCTACTCAGTCCTTGCAAACCTCCTGCTTCTGCCAATCAGTTAGGGGAAATCCAGACAGTAATGTGGCTCACATTCCCTGCCTGGCAGCCTCAGAGCAAGGAGCAGAGCCTGGACATCGGGGTGGTGTTAGGGACCCTGGAGCTGGGGCTAACAGTACCCCAACCAAACAGGGTCTGTATCTTCAGTGGCTTTGGAGTGGGTGGCCGCGTGTGAGGTATTCTGGTGAGACTAAACTCCAAGTGTTCCTTCCCTTTGTCTATATATGTACAGATAATTACATGGCTGATTTGCTTATTGCTAGCAAAATTAGTTTTTCTTTTAAGAAGTGCCAGCTGGGTCATTAAGACAGCTCAGCCTATGGTTAATTCTCCTCAGCAAGTATTTATTAAACCCCGCTCTGGGGGTACCAAGAAAGAAAAGACACAGTCTTACCTGGGTACTTTAGGCTGGGGCCAAGTGAGGATCGAAGATTTAGATTCGGGAAACAGAAATAAAAATGATGATAATAATACTAATAGAAGAAATGCCAACACCAGCCCCCGTTTGCTGCACACTTTCACGGTGCCAGGCGCTGTGCTGAATCTTTACAAGCATTAACCTTATTTTACGCTCACAGTGAACCAGTGAGAAGTGTCCTGTTACTAGCCCTGTTGTACAGGAGGGAAATAAACCGAGGCTCAGAGAAGTTAAGTAACTTGTCAGTTTTCACACAGCCAGAAGGACTGGTGCACATGTGAACTCAGGTCCATGAGCCTATGCTTAGTGGGAATATGTTAGACCGTACGTATGGCCCAGACATACTTGGAAAGAGTTTGGGGACGGAGGGTTGAGGTGGCTTCCAAGGGGAACTGAGCTCCAACAAGCCCTTGAAAGGCAAAAACGCTCGGGATGCCAGAGAAGAGAAAATCTGGAGTGCAGGGAGAACCCTGGGCCCGGCCTTCTCTGGGAGCTCCAGGGAAGTTTCTTTGTGTATTACCTTCCAGTGATGTCTTCTGTTTTGTTTCTGAGGATCCTGATTTCTGACTCCTTGCAGCCGGTCTCCCTGATTCTTCTGAAGGGCCCCATCCCCAAATATTTGACGCTGTCCTGACCCTTGAGGTTCTCCCAGAGACCAGAAGGCTCACTCCTGCCCCGCGTTTTCATGGTCCTTTGGGGCAGCATCATTTGGAGGAAGCATGAAAAAGTGCCAAGGGCTTGGCTTTTATGTGCTTGTAACATTGTTTGGAGGGAACTGAGACTTGGAAGGGAGACGTGACTTAGCAGCTCCGCTGGGCAGGCAGAGAGGGGAAGGAGGAAGAGGAGCTGGGGTGTGGGCAGTACCTTTGCCCTAGTGCCCCAGTGTGGGGGGGTTAGTAAGGAGGGAGGCCTCCAAAAGACAAGGAAACTTTGGAAAGGAGCAAAATTTGGGGAGGAAGAAGGGCTCCACCCTCCATTCAGAAAGCAAAAAAATAAAGAAATGGCCAACATTGGACCCAGAAACTAAGTTGGAGAACAGAAACTTTGAATTCGGTGTCATATGCAGGGGGAAGAAAGTGGCCTTGGGTACCCTGGGGGGAGGGCAAGGGGCTGAGCCCTCCCACATCTCCCCTCCTCTTCTCCTCACTGCTTGGGAATTGCGCCCCTGGTGTTGAGAAAGAGGGGTGCATCTGAGAGCTCCAGAGCTTGGGGGTGGCTGGGGGCGCTTCTGCTCCCTGCGAGCATGAGAGACCCCTCTTCCTGGGAGTTAGGTCTTGGGCTTTGTCTTCCCAGGTGGAGAAGCAAGAAATCCATCACTGCTGGGGTTAACATCAATTAATTCAGTTGTTCCCCAGATAGACATTGGGCATCTTATTTCCTGCCAAGGCGCAGGGCCAAGTAGGTGTGCCTGAGGCTGGCAGCCAGTAGGAAAAGGTTCCATTTTCTTCCAAACTGCCCCACGCAGGAGCAGCATAGGCAGCATGAAATTCTTAACTTATGACAGATCCCCTTCTATTCATTCAAGAAATATTTCTTGACTCATTGCCGTAGACTCAGCAATGGGGACTCCAAGGACCATTTAGAAACCCTCCTTTTTCCCATGGAGGAAACAGATCCTGAAAAAGAGCGAGGGGTGACTTTCCCTCTTGCAGACAGACTGAGGGCCAGACATTTTCCATCCACGGGTCTCTGAAACACCCCTATCATCCAGGATGGTAATGAGCGCCCCCTCCCCCCCCTGCAGTGGGCAAAACACTAGTTTCACACCTTAAATGCTACATTAAACATTCACTACATTTTTTATTTTACCCTACAATATATCCAGTTTGAGTTTAATAAAAGAATAATGATATATACTTCTTACCACAAAGCAAAGTTGCTTCTCGAAGCCTCACAGCAAGAAGAGTGGTAAGTCCCAGGAAATGCCATTTATGGAGCACCAGCTCTGTGCTAGGCCTTCAGCCAGGCGGGTTGAATAGGTTATTCTATATAAGCCTCATGACAGTCCTGTATATGGTTAGCACTTTCTTAACCCCATTTTCTAGATGAAGAAATGGAGGCTCAGGGAGGCGGCATGACAAGGACACACAGCTAGTAAATGGTGGAGTTGGGGTTTCCCGTTGTCTAACGTTGGAGTGTTAGACTCCAACGCTTATGCTCCTTTGATTCATTACTTGGGAAGTTGTGTGTGTATGTGATTCCTTCCCTGTCCCATGTGACCAGCTAACGTGAAGCCTGGTGTGAATGGCTTCTCGCTCCCCCACCTGGCAGGCTGTGGACTCTTGGCTGCCCTACCCTGCCCTACCCTGGACTGTGTCTCCCCAGGCTTGGCCACAGCTGTCAAGAGATGCCAACCTAGTTATTTGTTACTAAAATAAGTCAATTGCCTTATCAGAGTTCAGCTGCCCTTCTAGACATGCTCTCATTTGCAGACTTGGGAAAAAAGGGAGAGGCTGCTCCTCATCTAAGAGACAAGTTAGGGCAATGCCCTCTGCCTGAAAATTAAGGAAGAGCCCCTGCAGAGTTCCTCACCCTAACCTGCAAGCATTTTAGATGCATTAACCCAGCAGGACCCTCATCACATGCTCCGTGGAGGCCCCTGGTGTTTGGCAGGTTGTACGTGGCCCAGCGAGGGAAAGTCTTGAGGACCCAAGTGGTGGGCTGACATGATCCTTGACTTTCTCCAAAAGTCAAGGGTCTTGAACGGAAAGCCAGTATGGAGCTCGAGGTGATAGGCAGCCACCCAAGTGAGATTTCAGATCAGTCTACGGCGTCCAGGTTGATGGTTCTAAGCTGGGGTTCCCTGACATAGTGGAGGTGGTGGGAGGTAAGCTGGGCTTCCCCAGCAGAGTGTCCTGGCTGGGGCTGGGGCTGGGCTCTGCCGGGGCTGTCCCAGGGCTGTGGCTAGGCTGTGTTGGGCTGGGGCTGGGACCACTCTGGGCTGGGGCTGGGGCTCAGCTAGGGCTGAGACAGAGGCTGCAGTCGCCCCAGCACCTCAGTTCAGCCAGCTCAACCCGGAGCCCGAAAAGGAAGTGACTCTTGTGCAGAGCGAGCGGAAGCATGGCAGATGCTGTCAGACAAGGCATGGTTCTCAAAGGGGATCTTTTCTGCTTCAGAAAGAAATTCTGGGGGATTGCACAGCAAGAAGCTGATGACTCAATTTCCTTTGTGTCTCTGCTATTCAATAGGAAGCACACCAGTGTTCTTTAGAATGATCAGGGTAGGCCAGTGCCTCCTACCTTAAATTCGAACCCCACTTTTCACTCCCTCGGTAAGTTGAAGTTTTTCTTAAATTGCGTCCTCCCCCCAAAGCTGGCCATCAAGGGTTTGGGAAGCCAGACCAATCTGACAGAGTTAGGAAAGGGTGTTTTCTAGTTTGTGGTTGTGGAATCTGGCTTGGCATGGATAAAGTGATAGTGCATGCCAAATTTCCCAGGAGAGTCAGGATTTCCAATGTGCAAACACTCTACCAATTGACGCATAGTATATATTTTAACTAAGGGTCTTTATATTTTTCTACCAGTGAATGTATGGCTTCGTGTGATTAGGAGTCAAAAACTTTGCAAGACGTTTTGCATAAATGAATTCACAGCTCTACAATGCCTTCATCAGTCTAGGGTCTGATTAAACTGACGTTTGGTTCAGAAAACATGAAGAAATACTGGGGAGAAATATTTCATATTCCTCTGCTCCCCACTTTCTGATCACCCCACTATGTGAAGTACCAAGACAAGCTGCATATTTGATTCTTGCTGGCTGGATGTAGGCATACACACATTGTGGGTGTGCTTGTAAGTCTTCATGTGTCTGAGCCCATGCATCCACCCCTAATTGCTGGTCAATCCTTAAGCATGTATCAGGTATCTTCTGTGGGTCCCACACTGTGCTGGGTACTACAGGGGAATTGCAT